TCTTAATCCGCTAATTTTGAATACTAAGATCAATTAGGGTTCTTAGCACTTTATTTTGAAATTGGGGATTTTATTCTTGAATTTCACCTATCTTGCACTTTTCTGTCTTTAATCTTTATAATTTCGCTTCCGCATTATTTTCTAGTTTATTCTGGTAACCTGATTATTATCAAGTGGTATCAGAGCGGTTCTATCAAGGTTCCATTCTTGATAATCTTGGGAGTTTAAAAAAAAATCCTTTTCTAGTTGCTTAAAAGTTCTCCAAAAAAAAAAAAAAAAAACTGCAACAAATACAAAAAACTACTAGTTTTTTAAAATATCCTTTAATTTTTTTCCTCATAATTTATCTTAAGTCAAAATAATATCCTTCTTAGTAATCCCAAAACAAACTTTAAAAAAAAACTATAGCAGATATAAAAAAAAAAAAATCTAGTAGAGGGGGGTGGGGGTATTACATACAATAAGAAAATGTCAGATGATAAATATTTTTTTAAAAATAAAATAAAGAGAGGGTTGTTAATGCAAGGATATTTTTAGACCAAAAAATATGAATAGAAAGATATTTTTAAACCTTTTCCTATCGTTCAGATGTATTTTTGACCCTTTATTTTAAATTTGACTTTTTATTTTTTAATTTGAAAGCTACCTTTTTTTTCAGTATTTCCAAATGGGCTCAAATACCAGTCAATATGCAAGCTCGAATTAAAAAACATCATTTTTCATCACGTACTTTGATTCAATGTTTGTTCCGTTTTTCGGTCTTTCTTTAAAACAAAAAAAGGGTCCATCTCTTATCCCTTTCATAAAACTATATCTAACGTTTTGATATAAAGAAAGTTCTGTTGGAGCGTTATGCCCAAGGACATTTATGTAATTTCCTTGAATGAATAAAGAACTTACTTGCAATATGCAACAATTTTTTTCTCACTCCTCTATTATATATATATCAATAGACAAGTTATCTCGTATTTTTTATGAGTCTCCAAAAAATGAGTTCCTCTTCCAAAGTTAGCCGCTTATGTGGGAATTATGGATCAGAAAATTTCAATGAAATGCGACAAAAATACAAAGAGATGATATCAACTCTTCCGAATCGAATGCCTTATCATCCTATTTATAAGTTATACCAATATGAAGGCTTTTGGTACTATTCAAGCTTCTTAGAAGCAGCTTTATGTATGCAACAAAACTTCAATCCTCAACCCTCTGATATTTTCCTATGTACTGCTCCAAAATCAGGTACTACTTGGCTTAAAGCCTTAACTTTTTCCATCATCACTAGACATGATTTTCATGACGATTTTACAAATAGCCCTTTAGTCAATAAGGGAGTCCATGCATGCATACCCTATTTGGAACATGATTTTCTCAACAAACCTAAATTTGTAGATAGAGTAGGGTTGTCATTATTAGCCACACATCTTCCTTACACCATCTTACCCAAATCTATATCACTTAATAATTGCAAGATTATTTACATATATAGAGAACCAAAAGATGCATTTGTTTCTTCGTGGCATTTCACACATAAGATCGAAGCTAAAAATCTTGAGGTACCCCTAATTACACTCGATCAAGCATTGAAGTGGTTTTGCCAAGGAAAATCTGTATTTGGACCTTACTGGGATCACGTGTTGGGATATTGGAAAGCAAGTGTTGAGAAACCCGATAGAGTGTTCTTCTTCAAGTATGAAGATTTGAAGGAGGACACGTTGGGTTATGTGAAAAAGTTGGCCGAATTCATGGACAAACCCTTCTCTAAGGAGGAACAAGAGCGTGGTGTGCCTCAAGAAATTGTGGCACGTTGTAATTTTGAAAATTTGAGTAATTTAGAGGTGAATAAGAGTGGGATGCTTCTATCAGAAAGAACTCTACAAATTAGTAATAGTGTATTTTATCGTAAAGGAGAAGTTGGTGATTGGAAAAACTATTTGACGGATGATATGGCAAAATTAATTGATGACATAACCCACGACAAATTTCAATCCTCGGGCTTGACATTCCCTTCTTCATCAGCATGCAATTAAAAGGCCGTTAACGTACACCAAATAATATGGAAGAAGCACATTTCATCTATCGTTTGATGCAGTTTTTGGCTTTTTTTCCCTAATAAGTGCTTATGTACCTTGTCATTATTTTGAGTGTTTTTTCAACGTTTGAATTTAATATTGTCGCTTCTTTATCTGTCTTGAGTTAAACTTTATATTATTCAAATACTACCAAAAATATTAATAACTATGTGTGGATACAACCAAAAATATATTTATTTTGAGAATATAATGCACATACATCAATATTTTTAAAAGAATTTAAAAAATATAAGTTTCACTCAGAAGAACGGTCCCTTGCTTCTAATTTAATTCCGCAAGATATGACTCATCACATTCGCATCCATCATAAGTTTCTCAAATTAATTGAACACAGGAAAATTTAACTTAAACAATTTATTCAAATCAGTCATATTGATAATAGGAACAATAAAACAAAAATCTTTATTCATCTAATGACAAGGTAATAGTATTATTTAAACAATAAGTAAAATAATAAAATAAATCATATGTAATATCGGTGTAATACATAATATAGGAGAATAAAAATGTTAATGACAAAATAAACACTATACAAAGGAGTAAGAATATCTTTCATTAAAATTTGATGGAAAATTATGATTTTAAATCAAAGATTCAGTTTGCTGATAAGCAGGATTCTATCTCAGAAATGGGATTTTACTTTACGTTTTCAAAAAATAAAAATAAATCCAACCACTTTACTGTATAACTTGAAAAAAAATTAAGAAGTGCTTAATTTAACCTTTAGTTTGGACCAGACTCTTTTTTTTCACATGCAAGCCTGCAAGGATTCACATGACCACTTTAATGTATAGCTTGAAAAAAAATTAAGAAGTGCTTAATTTAACCTTTAGTTTGGACCAGACTCTTTTTTTTTCACATCCAAGCCTGCAAGGATTCACATGACTACTTTAATGTATAACTTGAAAAAAAATTAAAAAGTGCTTAATTTAACCTTTAGTTTGGACCACTCTCTTTTTTGGATTAATTACTTGAGTGGATCCCTTTTAAAAAATAATTACTTATTTTAAATATACTCTTTAATTATTACCATTTATAGCAATATCTAACAATATTATGTATTTTATTATATTTATCTTTCTTTCTCGGCTTTTTTTTTTTTGTCTCTAGCCTTTTCATATTTGTCTCTCTTTCTTGCTCTTTATCCCTTTCGTTCTTTCTTTTTGTTATTCTTTCTCCATTTCTTTCTTTCTTTCTTTCTTTCTTTCTGTACTTTATTCTTTCTCCATTTCTTTCTTTCTGTACATTATTCTTTCTCATTTCTTTCTTATGCTGCTCTTTCTCCCTCTCTTTCTATTGTTCTTTCTCCCTTTCTTTCTCTCTCTACTTTCTTTCGTATAGTAGTCAATAATTCGTAGACGGAATAAAATTTGTATCAATAATTAATTGGACAAGTAATCTAATCGTAACAAATGAAGAGATATAATAAACTGCAAAATGAATTAAACTTGAATTAAAAATGTATTACACACATATTAAAGTTGAATTAGATGAGAATTAAACATGAATGCAAAATACGAAAGAGCATTCTATGATCTGTAAACTGAATAAAACTTGTATCAATAATGAATTAAACAAGTAATCAAATTGTAACAAATCAACCAATAAAATGCAAAATGAATTTAACTTGTATTAAAAGTGTATTACACTAGTATTAAAGTTGAATTAGAAAAGAGAATTAAGCATGCATGGAAAACGTAACTAATGAAAGACCAGACAACAGTATGTAGAGTGAATTAAACTTGTATCAATAATGAATTAAACAAGTAATCTAATAGTAACAAATCAACCAAAAACTGCAAAATAAATTTGCATTAAAATTGTATTACACAATATTAAAGTTGAATTAGAAGAGAGAATCAAGAATGAATGAAAAACGTAACTAATGAAAGACAAGACAATGATCTATAAACTGAATTAAACTTATATTATTCATGAACAAAACATATATTATTATGTGTCTTATAAATTATTTTTGGTTTGTATCACTAAGAACGTGAGTGGTGTTTGCAATATGTATTAAAATGTATTATGCATGTATTATAAGTGTGTTACCTAAATTACTTTAGTTGATATCATTAAAAAGGGAGTGAAGTTTGCAATATGTAATATAAATGTATGATGTATTATTCATGATTTTAATACAATTTTAATACAATTATGAAACATATCTAATACAACTTTAATACAAACGCGATATAGTTTCGTAAACTTCATCCTTTTCGAGCTTCAATCTAATATTTCTCCTAAAATCAATTCTAAACTTAACCAAACCCCTCTTTGAAAATTGAGATATAAACTTCAAACGATATTTTCAATTATTCGTAGGAACAACCTATCCAAACTAAGCGCAAACGAAAGAGCAGAAAGTAATCTAATCGTAACAAATGAAGAAACATAATAAACTGCCAAATGAATTAAACTTGAATTAAAAATGTATTACACACATATTAAAGTTGAATTAGAAGTGAATTAAACACGCATGCAAAATGTAGCAAACGAAAGAGCATTCTGAAATTTGTAAACTGAATAAACTTGTATCAATAATGAATTAAACAAGTAATTTAATCATAACAAATAAACCTATAAACTGTAAAATGAATTAATTTGTATTAAAAGTGTATTACACAAATATTAAAGCTGAATTAGAAGAGAGAATTAAGCATGGGTAAAAAATGTAACTAATGAAACACCAGACACTGATCTATAGAGTGAATTAAACTTATATCAATAATGAATTAAACAAGTAATCTAATAGTAACAAATAATAAACTACAAAATGAATTAAATTTGCATTAAAAGTGTATTACACAATATTAAAGTTGAATTAGAAAAGAAAATTAAGAATAAAAAAAAAACATTACTAATGAAAAACAAGATATATGTGTCTTATAAATTATTTGATTTGTATCACTAAGAAAATAAGTGATGGTTGCAATATGTATTATTAATGGATTGCTTATGAATAAAACTTATATTATATGTGTCTTATAAATTATTTTAATTTATCACTAAGAAAATGAGTGACGGTTGCAATATGTATTAAAATGTAATGTGGGTGTCTTATAAAGGTATTATTAGTGTGTTACCTAAATTATTCTTGTTGGTATCACTAAGAAAGGAGTGAAGTGTGCAATATGTATTATAAATGTACTATTCATGAATAAAACATGTATTACATATATTTTATAAATTATTTTGATTTGTATCACTAAGAAAAAAGGCGGTGTTTGCAATATGTATTACAAATGTATTGTTCCTATATTATAAATGTATTACGAGTGTGTTACTTAAATTATTTTGGTTGATACCACTAAACAAGAGTGAAATTTGTAATATGTATTATAAATGTATTGTTCATGATTTTAATACAATTATGAAACATATCTAATACAACTTTAATACAATTGTCATACAGTTCCATAAACTTCACCTTTTTCGAGTTTCAATCTAATATTTCTCCTAAAATCAATTATAAACTTAACCAAACCGTCTTAAAATTGAGATATAAATTTCAAACGACATTTTCAATTATTTGTAGGAACAATCTATCCAAGCTAATCACAAATTCGTAAAATTCAAATAATGAATTCAAAATTTGAAACTTTATAATGACCATTAATGGTGAACTCTTGTTGCTATAATTTTACATATTTGAAATTTCTGCTTGAAGATAGTTATTTATATGAATATTTCAAAGAAGAAGAAGAATATTAAAAAAATAAAAAAAGAGGAGGAAGATAATAATGATAGAAAAAGAGACAAAGAAGAAGAAGAATAAAAAAAAGCGAAGGAAGATGAAAAAGGGAAGAGAAAGAGGCAAGCAACTGTACAATTTCTTAATTCCAAAAAATTGTTATATTTAGTTAGAAAATTATATTGTCATAGATAAAAAATATTTCTTTAATATAGCATATTTATGTGATTTACCTCACATGCATGTGTTTTATTTCTTTTATTTTTCTGTTTTTTTATTAAAAAAAAATCTTATTCATTTTTTAAATTAAAAAAAGGGAAAAGACATAAATTTACTTTCGAACTTATCCCGAAAAGTCAGTTACTCCCGGGACGTGTGGCACCACTCTCACAATGGGAGGTGTATCACATTTGCGCCACATCAATCCCATGTCACTGTCATATCAGATGTCATGTCAAATTTTGACTAAAATTCCCTATCTCATTCAATTGTTTCTTCTTCAATGAACATCACCATGAAATCACTACTGTCATATTAATACAAAATCTATATATTTCACCACCTACAATCAAATCCATCATCAAAATCATACTACCATCATTATTCCCACAAAATTTATAAAGATCCACCACAAAATTTGATACCCATAAACAAACTCATCACCAAAATTAGATCATCACCAACAAAAGGTACAAACTCACCACCAAATATCACTACCACCATTGTGAATATCGATTTTTTCTTCTCCACCACCTTCAATTCTCGCTTCTTTGTCACCCCTCACCAACAAATCCATCATTATATTTTATTTTTTAAACTTAATCATCAATTTTATCAACCACCAACAAATTAAAGCCGAAGAGAAAAATCAAATATAATGAAAATGATGAAATCGAATAAGTATCAAAATAGAATATGATGAGGGTGGGGGGAGAGGATTTTGGTGGAGGTATAGTGGGGTGATGAAAAAAAATAAAGAAAAAGAAAAAGAAGACGATTGACCGTGAAGAAAAAGAAGAGGCGTGGGGTGGGGGGTAGGGTGGTAGTATAAAGAGGATTTAAATTATTTTTTTTATTTGATTTACTGTCAAACGCGCTTTTTTTTTTTTTAAATAAATAAATTTGTCACGTCAGTTTTAGGTGGTAAAAAATTCATTTTTAAATAATAAAAGTGTGTAATAAGTCGTCATATTAGTTTAAGCGTGTAACTGACTTTTCGATACAAATTCAAAGGAGAATT